GCAGCCGGGCGAAATCAATTGAGGCCAAATTAAAAGGGAGGGCCTATGTTCTTCTTTAGCGGATCATCGATTGGCCTCTTTGACCCTTTTCCATCCAGAGCCAGGACGCGTAAAAAGCGAACATCGTGGGAGTCGGTTTGCTGGCATCTGCAACACTTGGCCTAGCCATCGGAGCCTGGGTCGTGATACAGAGGTGTGGATCGGTTCATTCGCTCCTCCTGCAAATAATACGCGGCGGCGAACACGCTCCCTGCTGCCACCAGACAACTAAATTCTAACGCATCAACTTAACACAGCAACGAAGGTTCGTTGATCTAACTGTAACGTATTTAAAGATTAGATCCGCTGCGCTCCCGTGAAAGCTTTATTGGAATCAGACAAAAACTACGAAAACTTACACTGCATACTTCTTCTTGAGGGCAGCAAGATAAACCAGTCGCCGTGAGATTGCTGTGTTCGATCTGCGCTCGCATGCAGCAGTCGTGAGGTCTGTGTTTCCTTCAACCTCTCTGCGTGATATTCGATGGCACGACATCACACATGCACCGACCTTAGAAAACATCCACATCAGGAACTCGGTGTGCTCCCAATCGCCAATCCAGACGACGAGTCAAATCACCGAATTTCTACCTATGCCATTCAACTTCCCCTACTATTCCTCTGTGATCTGATAATTATTGACAATAATTGTGGCTCGAATGTGAATGGTGTTTGGTTGTTCTCCGAGCTGGATGGTTTGGATGCACACTTTGGGTTACCAGACTAGGCGACATCACCAGCGGCAACTTTATCGCTTAGTTGGATGACGTGTGTAATTGTCGAGGCATGGGCCCGTTTGCACTGGCCACAAGACACGCAACAGCGATTTCCTACCCGTCGTATATGACAACGGGAAGGAAACATCATTACATCTTTAACCAGTGAGAATAGTTTCCGGCTATCGTAGATCCATGCAGCCATTTCTCTTAAAAAGCATTAAAATAGCGAGTACGAAACACATCTGAGCGGGTTCACAATGACGTTGCTCCACACCTATAGAACGTATTGAAACCCTCTCACATTTGTAAGGTATATAGTCCTCTGAAAGTTAACAAATTAATCTCGTCACAGTAAGCTAAATCGCGCCGCCACCGTACATCCAAGAATGGTAAGCAGGACGTGTTCCCCAACCTAAAGTGGAACTGGAATCCGCAGTCATCCTTCGCTTTACTTTTAATAACAACCTTTAATCCTAGGATTGATAAGTTCATCTAGCGAAGCGTGTGGACTCGATCTCGCCCGGCACACTTCATTTCGGCCGATTGCGTCGGACGACGTGTGCACTTGGGCGAGGTGCATGAATGCTCATCGGATACCTCTAGACATTATCGCTGATGATGTGTGTGATTCAATCGAATTGCATGGCAGTAGGCTTGAGGAGGTTGTTCAGATTCCAGTTGCGGCATCAGGCGCGCATTCAAGATGTTGATTGAAAGCTAGGGATGTGGGTCACGTGCCTTGTGCATAACCGGTTTGACTAGACTGCGTGGAGGTAGGCTTGGACCACATGTGAGAATCCGCTCAAGTACGGTGATTTCTAATTCAACTAACTGACGATGTGAAAGTAGCCGCTGGATTTGCAGCGTCGCATACATTCACAGAGTCACCCTCCCTCGAAGTTGCACTGATTAATCATTTCGTCTAACCGGGGATTGCCGAAGGTAGTTAACTACAAATCACGCTGTCTTGGCCCGGAATCATAGAGGATCCCTAGGAGGTGGTCGCGTCCAACGTATCCAATTGTAATGGCACAGTCGTCTGGCTATCTGTGAGGGCATTACCGTCCAATCAATTGTACACTGCGAAGCAGTCATTGGTGCATATGTAACAAGTTTGAAGAAAAATCCGATACTCCCACTGAACACCAGCTCATTCATCCTCATGCATACATTCTTACAACGCAAACTCGTCCGAACTGGCGAGACAAATTTGTTTACGGTCGAAAACATCTCTGGCCACCGCAGTCCCAATCTCACCCTGTTGTACTCAGTGAACAAGAATTTCTGCAAACCACCTCATTACCGCTCAGCCGTACTTGATACACCTGCTTCCCACCTTACGCGCGACACCCTACACCGATGCCTTCCCAACGCCGTAGTTTCCGTTAGCTGTCAAGTTGAAAAACTCAATCGGCCATGCATGTGTGTACAGTGCTCGTGATTTTGTGTGTCAATTGTGTGTGTGTGTGTGTGTGTGTGTATGTGTGCGGATACAGACAAAATTTGTTGGTCCAGCTCCACAGTGTACTCGGCTGTACCTCCAACCAGTGTACCAAGCAGGTTTAGCTACTGCGCTACGTGTAGAGTTGCGTATGGCAAACATCGACAGTTCTCACCTCGAAGTAAACATGGCGCGTCAGGTGCATGCGTTCGCACCCCACCGGTACTCTCTTTACGGTGATATTGCAGTAGGGACGAATTTCTGTCTCATCGAGTGTGTTAATGCGTGTGTACACGTGTATACGAGACCACATTGACAGGATGTCCACCAAAGCTGGTTCATTCGCACTCGAGGTGAACGAAGAGCAAAAGGATGAGAACCAGATAAAAGTGTTTCAATCGAAACCATTTTCCATGTAGGTAACCAAGTGCCGAACGTGCACGGGACGCAAGTACGAACACCTTCCAATCTCTTCTACCGCATCCTTTTTGATACCTGACACAGGAAAGTGGGGCCGAATCTAATCCGGTACAAAAGGTTGACCCGAATGCTGCTTAATGAACTCGATGGCGTCCACTTACATACCGGGGAGAGCAATGTGTGCGGCTGTCCGGCTATAAAACAGCTCTACCTCACGTTAGCGTTAAATACATAGGTGAACGAACATTCGCTGTGGTCCGTGGAACTAGTTATCTAGGTGATTGTAAATTCTGCAGTAATCAAGTAGTCAAGTATGCTCCTGCGCAATTCAATCTATCCCGTGTGATTGTGTACATTAAGGGAAGGTTGCACGCCCTTGTAACTATATTTCCCAAACAGTACGAGGTTCGTGGTCGCTGTATATTGAAAATACTGACAGACGACTGGCTTCTAGGGAACGTTGCTCAAAATTGGTGGGGACAGGTACTGAATACAGCTAATGTCCACTAGTTGGTGTTTCCTGACAATTCCTCAACTGCCGCCTCGTAAGCGGCTCGATGAGTTACGACACATTAGTTGTGTAACAGACCGAACCTGCTCGGGTCCCCAGTTGGGAAAGCCGGTTTTCCCAGGAATGTTACTATTACCGCTCTGGGCCGAATTGACTGGGTGATAACGATTAATGAATTCAAAAGGCCATATCTTAGCAGATGATACTTATGAAGGAAAACTCCTGTGTGAAGTCGCTCTACTTGGTCTGTACAGGTAGCGTCAGTTTTTTGTTTGCGGTTGGAGCCAACATACTATTTCTTTATTCGGGGTCGATTATTACATGCTAGTACATCCCTTCGCGGCTCGTTACAATCTCACATCGGGTCGACACAACACAGCCCCTTCAAAGCTAGACGACGCCACTAATGACTACGATCAATAGAACTAAGAAGGGTATGCATGTCCAAAAACAAAGCCGTGATGGGGGTTGTTAGCATGATGACTCTCGCGTACCGGCTGATCAACGTTCCATAGAGCTTGGATGGCTTTTCGGTACATCGATACTGTCGTCCGCTCTTCCCTACCTTCCTCAGTAGTCTCACCACAGTGACTGAGTTCCGGGCCGGGAAACCTTGCGTTCACATCTTCACGTACCAATGTGAACAGTGAATGATAACTACCAGAGCTAAGACCATTTCATATGTTACCATCACGAGACTTGCAGAAGAAGCTTCTGAAAAAACAGGTGTGATATGATTATCCTATATTAAGGAGGCAGTGTGCGCCAACAAATCTGCCGTGGTCGACTTAATAAATAAAGATTTCAATCAACCGAAGACATGTTTCAAATACCTGAATATCTTAAAAGTGCAAGAAGAAAATGATTTCAGCTGGCGGGATTTGCTGAATTCTGCGTATTTCATGTATTCTCATTCAGCCGTGTACATACTAATAGTGAACATTTCAAACGAATGCAAGTGAAAGTGAATCAATACCAAGAGTCCATAATCCTCGGTGGCAATGCTTCTACAGGTACAGTCACATCTTACCACGGCCGAGAAAGATTGGTCACAAGTTCCAGTTGCTTGCATGGGTTAGACTTAAACGCCGGATGGCAGTAACCTCAGCGAACCGGAGCAAGTTCGGATTATTTTGCCTGCTAAGCACCTTGAAAGCTTCCAGAGTTGTCGGTAGGTGGGCGAGTGGTCTGCCCGTCTAGTTTGCAACCATAAGTTCGCCGGTTCTAATCCGCCTAGCGGTGGGTTCGCACGCCTGACTGGTGGTGCTCGCGTGGCAGCGAAGTTCCCTTGCGCCGTACAGCCGTACAGATTCCCAGGGGTTTTGAAGCATTGCATAGTCGAAAAGGAGCCTAGCAATTGAGCTAACTTCTAGTTTCGCAACAGTCAAAGATGGATTTCGTGGGATGCCCATGCGGTAGCATGTACATCGGCAAGGCTGAGAGAATGCTGTCAACCAGGACTTCGGAGCACATCCTGCGAAGTCTAGTTTTAATTGTTGCGACATTACCTGCTAACTCAATTGCTAGACAACTGTTCGACTATACATTGTGCCAAAACACCCGAGAAGCATTCAAAGTTTTCAGCAGACAAAGTGATCCGAACATGTTCCGGTTCACTGATGCTCAACTCCTTCGGAGGCAGTGAGTCGACTGTACTCATTTCACCAGCTTCACTGCGATTGTGGTCTCCTCGAGGGGAACCAACCGTTGCAGCGGCTCTGTACTGGATCGAACACTCCTTCATCGTTTGAATATCAGCGATTAACTTGGATGGCTTTGGGGACGGTGATGGGTTGTTGATAAGCTGACTTCTGGTTATATTCACCGCGAAACAACCGGCTGGTGGTCCAATTGCTGGCGGATAGATTGTTTAGACCGATAAAGGAAAGTGACTTGAAAAGAAGGTCTTGACTGACCAATCAGGGGAACAAATTGACGTCCGGCCGGCATTTTGGTGGACTAGGGCTGTGACACTTGTCGATGGCGGCTGATCTTGTCTCGAGACCCTTGTCCTATTACCGACTGCCAAATCCAATCCCTGTTCACTGCCAACATGTAGCCGTGCGTCTGTCAAAGTCCCCTGAGATGACGAGCGCAGGTCGGCGGTGACAGGCGCAGTAGTCGAGTTTGTCATAGCAATTGCTCGGAGTAACTGACCAAGGGGATTCGTGGTGGCACCTGCAGATGAGGGTTGAGTTAACAAGTGGGGATGGACGAACTTCGGGTCAGTTTGCGTATCGGATGGATTCGTCAGTGCGGATGGAAACAGTGATGGTTGGTTGAATAAGGGGACGGAGTTGGTGGAAGCATTTGGCATAATTAATTGACTCAATGCTGTCAGGGTCGCAGCAGCTGCTGCTCCAGGAAATAAGGCTGCCGTTAGCGAATGCAATGCCTCCACTTGTTGTGGTTTGTCTGTACATGCAGGCGAGGGTAACCCGATGGGATCCGGTGAGGCAGGCACAGTCAGTCTGGCTTGATGTTGAATCATGTTCAGCAGAATCTCTTCAATTGGGAATGGGGGTGGGTTTGTCATCAACAGTTGATTCATGGGATGGACGATAGTTGGCATTGGGGCAGGCACGTGTGTATCGATTGCAGCAGTATCGAAAGTGAAGCCTGTGGAAACAAGTGTATACTTTCCAATGACTTCGCTGGGTACATGAATGGCGTTACAAATAGCATTTGTCCAGGGTCAGCCCTAGACCCTGATTATAACACCACTCCGGTTGTGCCTACTTAGGCCCTGTGGATGATACTGATTCGGCAATCTTTATGCTCAGTTTTAGTATAATTGAGAAGTGACCCTCAGTGTCAACTTACTAAGTCATTACAGATTTATTGACGAAATATGCTGGGATAAACATTCTCTGATTGAGAACTGCTCAAATACTGTCATTCTTATAAACAAGTGTCAGATAGAAACCCACAAAATCTTGCCCTAGGTCAAATAATTCCTTGTATGCCATCAAAAATTGCTGACCTTCAAGGGGCTGGATTTCGAGGTCGGCTTACCCATCCTTGGGACTGATCAGATCATATGTGACAGACAGAGGTGCCATAACCGCACAGTTACTACGCCGAATCAGCACATACGCTATCGTATAGAGCACACTGCCGCATCTCATGGTAGAGAGGCTGCATCAATCTGACTTAATATTGCATAGGTCTGACAAACCGGGTTGTGCCGGCTCTACTGGTACATTCGAAGCGGCGATTGACTCATTTCAGACATACCTATTGTGTTATGATAAACCTCACCAGTGGGTAACAACAGACAAAGTACTAGTAAAAGCGGAGGAATTTGGAACTGGGATACCTACATATTGTCATACTATATTGTTGGTGACCGTGGTAGAAAGTAAGTGCCATTTGTTTGGTGCTAGATGTTCCCACTGAATCAAAGCAATACAAGCGTGTTACTCTATGTCAATTCTGTACATTAGCAACGCTTCCATGTGGAAAATGCTGAGCAGTGCGCCGTTGATTTCGGTGCAGCATTTTCGGCTCCTGGCAAACATCACGTAGCGTGGTTGAGATATCCACAAACATCTAACTACACATTCGTGACTTATGTACTCAAGCGAGCACAGGACTTAAAGACAGTTGAGGTTGTTACTTGACCGAATCCATGAAAAATAGATTTTCACCCAACAAAAGCAGCTCCAAACCAACACCTAAGAAAAAAGGTGTTATTGACCAGTTCCATAGACCATTCCAAATGATGCATCGGACACACACTAGCAAATTGGTGTTTCTAATTCCATTTTAAAAGTACTCATTCGTGCAGGAAGTGATGCTTATTTCAACTAAATTGGTTAAATGACACAACTAAATGCTTTAGTGTTGTTTTGCTTCACCATCTAGCTTTAGAGAGCATCCATTTTGGACATGGCCCTGTCGTGTAGGTATATCCGATTCGGTTGTACAATGGGCACGGTTTTCTTGGATGCGAATGAATGACTTAGTTAAAGGTGTACTAGGCTCCACCAGTGTCGTATCTGTTTAACTTACTAGTAATCCCGACGCTTTATACAGCTTCGGTGCGTTGAATTTAGCGGAAGCATAAGCCTGTGGACGTCATCTAACAGCATGTCTACATACTTCCTTCGGGTAGACCCAACGAAAGATGGAAAGCGAGCCCTAAGAACTTGTGTTTCGCGAGGCAAAAATTAGTCAATCAACGCATCATGATTGGCGGCATCCGGTTTCGGATTTGCCTGTCACTATGGCCAGCCACAGGACGCCTGCGCCTACAGTGGGACCATGGATGGTTTGCGCTGCACCACCCACAGCTCCAACCACACACCCCATATCCAGTGTAAACCAGAAGGAATAAGACCGGGAGGCATGTGGATGGGAGCCACGTTTCATCAACCGAGCCGGCCCACACTCCTTCACAGACAAACACAAGCACGCTGTAGTTGGGGAATCAAACGCACACAGGGCGGTGGCTAAACCGTAGTCCACTCCACACTGAGTGTACGGAACCATTCTTCGAGCTTAGCACGGCCACAAGAACCGTGCACCCCGTCCCCTCCAGCAATGACCAACTGTCTCCTGGAGCCAGTATGGAGGAGGTAGTGAGTAATAGACAGGTAGGCACCTTGTCAACATGCACATCAAGCGCAACCATACCAGGGATATCAAGCAACAGCCATTCAGTTGAAATGACAAGATGAAATAAAATACATCCAATAATGCATGCAAATACGGTGGCATAACTCTTCCCTAAATTACCATATGAAGTAAGTTGGTTAGCAACAAATCCGCGATAAGTAAGAAATGTCCGCAAGTTACTTAAAAAGGCCACGAACGTAACAAAGTTACCCGTGATAAGCGCAATTAGCGTAAGCAATGTGGCCAATTAATAGTAGATTATTCTGGTAGACAGAACAATGCAAATAAAGTGGAATGAAATGTACCCAGCTTAAAGCAACCTAGTTTAAGTGTAACTTTGTTTAGCCCAACTGAGGTGAAGAAGCATCAAAAATGCAACATCAGCCTCAGCATGGGGCACAAAACATGATCATGTAGTAATGTACTATATGTCGATCATAGGCTGAACAGAAAAGTTCGAATGCGGGCCGGTTATTTACAGTCGAAATGAAAGCGGTGTTGGTCAGCAGTGACAATTTTTGTGGTAATGATCCGATATTTGGTAAACGTAGTCGATGTATGGGCTACAAACCGATGGAGCGAGTGCCAGATAAATGTCTACGACTAAGCAGTGGTAAGAGTTTGTGTAATTTGAAATCGTTTCAAATATGAAAAGAGTTCACTTGGGAACTAAACGTTATGTCCAAGTGTGTCCCACCTATTTGTATTCAACCGCTGCTAGTCCCAGTCGTCAAATCTCTTAAAATTGCCATAGTTTATGCGATTGGTTCGTTTACATGTATGTGCGAGCGACAACGCCCTATTTCAACGTCCTCTCTGGCCAGTTTATGCGTGTCCTTTCTTTGATAATCGAGATAAGAACTAGACCTGTTTCACAATTGCCAACGTGTGTACCACACGTTTCCATCCGGTTAATTAATTCAGACCCGCACCTCCGAGGGGATGTAGCTCAGCGGTAGAGCGTTCGCTTTGCATGTGAAAGGCCCCGGGTTCGAACCCCGGCATCTCCATCGCTTTTCGGCCATTTACCAACTGCTCACTTCCCCTAGTCGCCATGTCTATTCGCTGAGGTCAGTATGATGTGCGTCTTACCTGTGGGGGCCATTGGTAGATCTTTGCAATTGCCCTTAAAAGTGCTCAGCGCAGAACGAAAACATGAAACTATGTACCACTTTCCTAAGTTGTGTAGTGGATTAGCAGTGAATAGTGCGCATGTATGATACATTTTTGCAAAGGAAAATAAAAACAAGTAGTAGAACGCCAGGAGAAAGCGTGTCGCAATGGCAAACTGGGTAACCTTTTTTAATTCATTGCGGGGGCCAATGTTGCCGTTGGCTCTTCATTGAAGGCGGCGGACAATACTTCTGGTAGGGTTCCGCCAGTCTGTAGCGAGAAAATTCAAATTCAACTAATGTACGAGAAAATAATATGTCATTTAACATAAATGGCTGTTGTTCCGTTTCTAACAACAAACTGCTACTTTATGTTGCTTTACTGAATTTTCACCTTTAAAATAGTTCAGTGTTGATGTGCCGAAGAGCAGATGGGTCCGTCAAAAGAGAGGTTTACCGAAAACCGACTTGGTCAGGGCAGTACCTGTACTTTACCAGCTTCTCCCCAATGCGCTGCAAGCAGACCTTAGTCAAGACACTATTCAATCGTGAGAGGAAAATATGCACTACCGACAGTTCAGATAATTAGATAAACTCGCTCAAGGATACGCTGTTGAAAAATGGCTATCCAAGTAGATTCATCAACAAATATAGTCAGGCGAGGGTACCGGGACAGGAGATTTTGACAGCGTCTAAAAAGAAGATTTACATCGAGCTACCATTTAAGGGAGATTTTGCCAATATGAGGACAACGAAGTGAATAACTTCCGCAGTCCAGAGGAATTGTTATGCTGCCGCAACTGTTTTTATCAACCGGACTAATCGAATACCTGTTACCCTGTAGTGGAAAGGCCAAACGGAAAGGGCTTAACTACATATAAGAACTCAGTCTATAAATAAGAATGCTGTAGCTGACCTTAGGTAAAGCACGATCTTCGCTAGGCCGTCAGTTAGTCTCACAATGTGGTCGTAAGACGGAACTTAGTCGGCACAATAAATCGACGCGTTAGATCCGATGATCGATGGACGAGGCCAGCAGACAGACGACGACCAACAGCACAACACGGGTAGCCGAAACCAGAAGGCGAATCGAAACCCGAAAAGTATTTTATCAGTTGTTGGTCAATTAAAACAAAACTGTACAATAATAGTGGAAATGAGAATAGGAAATTACAATTGGGAAGAAAGATATGTACAAGCGTTATAACCCCAATGACGGAAAGAAAACCTATTGGCGCCAACTCACATTGTGTTTACCAATTTACTTGTAGTTGTGGTATAAACTACCGTACGTTTGAGAAGAGTCTTTCGTTTTTGCTCAGTCGCACAGGGGTAGATTGGAGCTCACTAATTTGCCGACCCACCAATGGCATGTAAGTCTACTGTATTTACTCACCCACGCATGTCTGGGGGTGTGAATACGACGTGCGGACGCATTGCGGTGCATGTGTCCTTGAAATATGTTAATTACCCTCGTCGATTTTGACACCGGCCAGTTCAGATTGGGTCGATGCCGACGTTTTTGGCTGGTGGTTTGCAACATCTCGACAGCAGTGCATAATGCACTGGCTACCGTGTTCAAATGTTGATGGCGCTTCGACAGTTGCTTAATGTTATCCCAGCAAATGATGAAAGGGTTAGTGACAACGCTGTTGTAGACTGAATGTTACCTTCACATAAACCACCTTAGCAAAATAAGAATTCGTAACAATTAGGCGGTGAAAATATGAGATGCTACTTCTGCATAAATGAGTCCGGAACAATGTCTACCAGCTACTGGAGGCTCATCGGATCTACTTGCAAGTGCGCGGCCGCCTAAGGAGTTAATTCCAGCAGAATACAGAAATAAAAAGAAAGCTGAGTGCAGTGGCTTTTGAACAGATTTTA